AAAGGGGAACCCATCCGCACCTTCGGCAGTGCGGTTGGATCCGCTGCTCGAGGCTGCCTACCGGCTCTACCTCCAGAGCCGCAGCCATGACCAGAGCCGCGTTAGCCGGAACGCTTGGCTCCGCAACAACCTTCGGAACAATAGCGGTACGTTCGTGCTCAGCTCCGAGAGAGAATGGCGGCTGCTAGCCCAAGCGATAGCGCAGCCCCGCCTGCGAAGAGTGGTCCGAGCGAGGCGGCAGCAGCCACTCCTCGGAGGCAACCCCCGCCGCCGCCCAAAGCCCCGCCAAGGGACCACCAGGGCCGCAGAACTGCAGAGCAGGCGCGAGGGGGCGAAGCGGAAGAGGAGCCGGAGGCCGGGCAGGCCACTCCCACTGAGGACTCCTACGAGTCTGCCACTGAGGAAGCGGACGACGACCAAGCCGCGCCCAGCACAGCCACACCGTGGGCGCGGCGTATCGTTAGGAAGACGACGTCAGCTAAAAGCGCCGCTCTCCCTCCCCAGCAGCATGTCTCCCTTGCCCCAGTGACTCCGGGCTCATGGGAGCCTGCTGCAATGGAGGCTGGCAGCGTGTCTCCTCCGGTGTCCGAGTGGGAGTGGCCCCCCACCCCTCGTGACCCTGATCCCGCAGACTTCGCGTCCCTGTCGGAGGTTGCAGCAGCCCTCCCTTCCACCACACCGTCCGGCCTAGAGGCCGTCGTCATGGATGTGGATGACGGCTCGCCCTCACCCAAAGCTGCCGCAAAGTCGCCGCCTGCAAACCCTAGTAGCCCTGGCCACTCCGAGGGCACCTCGGACACCTTACCCTCCGGCACTAGTAAAGATGAGGAGATGGAGAACAAAGGGGCATTTTGTAGCAGTGCTACAGGCCCCTCCAAGCAGGAGGACCTCCAGGATGCCATTAGAGAGCGTCTCGATCAAGCCGGAGGTTGTGGACTCCACACCTCTCACAAGCCAGCCGACCGGCCCTGTTGCTGCCAACAGTTCTCCCGAGGGCTCCAGTGCAGCGGACCACAACACTGCTGACGCTAACCAAGCAGCTGGCGTTGACAGCCCCACAAGCCCCGCGGAGACTACCCTGGCGAACGAGGGCGGGGTCCCTTCGAAGGTGACGACGGCCACTGTAGATGGCATTGCCCCGCCGCGAGCACGCGCCGGTGACTCTGGCGAGCCGGCAGTAGTGCCTTCCCATTCAGTGGCCCCGGCAGAGCCGGCAGGGGCACCCCAGCTCTTGAGGCTGGATGTGTCTTGCCAAGTGGGCACCCACCTAGTGGTGCTCCGCATGGCAATGACGGCCAACAGCACGGTCGGAGCTGTACTCGCCAGGGCCAGAGAAAGGGCGAGTGCACCAGGACTGGAGGTTGCCTCCTTGCACACCGCACCAGACGTGGCGCTCTCCCACGTGGCTACGCTGGGCTCAGTGTTGCCACCAGGGGAGCTACGACTCCTTCTTCGCGAAGGCACTAGCCCTGTAGCACTGGCTAGCACCACCCGCGAGGCAGAGGCTGTGCCATGCCTTTTCTCCCCTGACCGGTGCTGGTGTTACTGCTGTGGCATCGGCACTGCCTGCCCGCTCCTCATGCAGGCCCACGCGATGACAGACCGGCATGTGTGGAATGCCCGAGTCTTTGTCAGGAGGCATCGACAAGGCCACCCTGATGCGTGAGC